GGAGAGACACTCGTCCACATCTGGAACAGAGCCCCCAGCGGGGACAGGAGCTCAGGGCAGGGACAGCCACAATGGCGGAGACTGCTGGCAAACAGCGGCAAGGCCAGGGGCGAGTCCTGCTCCCTGCAGCACAGCGCCGGGAGCTCGGGGCTGGCACTCACCAACATGGCACCTCTTCCCAGTAAAGCCGGCCAGGCAGGAGCAGGTGTAGGAGGGGTTCCCCGTGATGCAGTCCTCGATACACTTCCCCCCATTCAGGCAGGGCCGCAGCGTCAGGCAGACAGAGGCTGTGGGGACAGGCAGTGCCTGCCTGTCAGCCCGCACCCTGGCAGGGCTCAACCGCCGCCTTCCAGCCACACCAGTGCCAGGGTGTCCCTGCACCCGCCCAGCTCCCCGGGGCGCTCAGGTAGCCCACGGGGGTCGCCTGCCTCATGGCAGGGCAGGGTCTGCTCCTCACGGGCTCCCCTGGGACAGGGGGGCAATTTTATTCCCCCTGGGCAAGGGGGAGAGGCTGCAGGGGGTCAGCCCTGCCAGCCAGGGGGACATGGACGTGCCCTCGCTTGTCACCCGGGGCAGAGGGAGAGGGGGACGGGAGCACCCGTGTACAGCAAACCCATCGGTAACGCGAGACACACGCGGATCGCGGGTGGGAAAGCACAGCCCAGGGGGGAGCGGGGATGAGGAACGGAGGCCAGCGGCTCCACGGGGGATGTGTCAGGACCCCGGGGTGGGGAGCATGGCCCAGCCTTGGCGCCCCAGCCCGTGGGGGAGGCCGGCACCCAGCAGCCCAACACATGGCGCCCCCCAGCCTCCGGGGAATGCGTGCCACCCCTGAGGGTTCCAGCCCCTCGTGCCCTGCCCTGCCCTGCCTGGCAGTGCACCATCACCTCCTCCCCAGCCTCCCTCATTGCTCCCCGCAGACTCTTTTCCGCCTCAAAAGTCTTCCTCCCCTCCCCATTTGCTTTCCCAGCCCCTTCCCAGTCCCGGGGCACCTGTGGGTGCCATCCCCAGCCATGGCAGGCGCTGAGGATGGTCCCCCCATGGCTGCCTCCCCTCCCTCCCCAAGCCCTTCGAGCCACCTCCTCCACCCCGCGGAGGTGGGGGTTGAGGCAGGGAAAGACAGGGCTGGAGAACAGTGTGGGGTTGGGTTGGGAGTTAAATAAACCTAACTGCTGTCCTCTTACTTGTATTGCTGCAGCCCCCCACTTGCACCTGGGCATCATCGATTCTGAACACCCAGCGCCCGGGGATACCCACATTTGTCGTCATCTCCACGTCAGCGATGTCATCAGTGCGGGATCCAGGGATGTTGAAGTAGCGCTTTCCATCACCGGCATTAAAACCTGCCTGGGAGGGCAGAGGGTAACGAGACATCACTAGCACACAGGGGCCAGCGAGCAGGGCGCAAGGACTCGTCCCTCTGGCCACCCAGCGCTGCCAGCAGCGCCGCTCAGACCAACTGTCCCCTTGCATGCGGGACGACCGCCAGCACAACGGGGCGACGCGGCCGCCCTGCCCACTTGGGTCCCTCCTTCCCCTGGGATTCAAACCCCATCCGCTTCCCCTTCACCTGTGGCATCCTGCATGCCACAGGCTGGCGGGCAGGGAGCCACGCACGGATCAACCCCTGGTAAAGGCACACATCCAAACGGGTACTGGGGTTTTTGCGGGTGTGGGTGTTGGCTTTTTTCCCCCTTAAACACAACAACGCACACAAGGATGAAGTAGAAATACAAGCAAAATCTGTACTGGCTGTGGCAGCTGCTCTTAAAGGCTGAGGTTAAGAAGGAAAAGGCACTGTGAGGCAGCAGCCAAGGCAAAGACCTGTGGTTTCGGGATAACAAAGCCCCCTGTATGGTCTCAGCTTTGGGAGCCAGAGCACACATGGATATTTAAGAACTTTAAAAAAAAAAAAAAAAAAAAGCAGGGGGGAGGCTTTCCACCTCCAAACAACCCAAACCAGGAGCCGCAAGCTCACAGGGCGGACGCACTACCTGGGCGCCCCGGGGGCTGCGTTTGCCGCTTACCTGCGCCGCGATGCCGCCGAGCCCAGCAAAGTCCCCCCCACTGCTGGCGTGCATACCCGTGGTCCAGGTGATGGACTCATAGTTGAAGATGGTGAAGGAGAGCTTGCCGTCTGTGATGAGGACGATCTGGAAAGTGTTCACCTGCAGCAGGGAGGGGAAGAACGCAGTGAGTGGGCAGGAGGAGGGCACGTGAGCCAGCTAAAAAACCGGTCAGAAAATAAAATTACAGAAAGAGCATTTAGCGAAGGAACGTTTCCTGGAGCTCTGGCCCTCCACTGCTAGAAAAGGCAGTTGGGTTTAATTATTTTTAACCCTAAGGTGTTGCAATTCCCCCGCCCAGCACTCCAGCCAGCAGAACAGCTCCCTTCTCCTCCTGGGGAAGCAGGAAAAATGGGGAGAAACGTGGTTATTGGGCCCCTGGAAGAAAGGCAGCAAACTCTGCCCGTGCCCAGCTCCTCAGCACAGCCACAGTCAGGCGAACGCTGCCCTGCTGCTGCCCGAGAAGGGGGACGCCAACAATTTGCAGCTTCCACACGGCACAAAGAGGAGGGTTTGGTTTTGCCAGCCCGGCGCTGCTCTGTCACAGCAAGGCATCGTGATGGAGCCGCTGGGGTCAGCTTAGCCCTGAGACAGCTGTGCTGCATGTGGCAGGAGCACCACCACCGCTGAAGTGCCAAAACTCTGGTGGGATGCTCCTTTTGGGAAAAAAAAAAACCTACCCCTAAACTAATGGCTGCTTTGACCCAGCTACTCACAGGCGAAAACGAACTGCCCCCGAAGAAGGTCACTCGGTACCAAGTGGCGATGAAGACCCACTGTGCGGCAAACCCTGGGAACTCAGGGAAATACTGTGCGATGTCCCTGCTTGCCCTCTCCAAGATGGGCTGCTCGGTGCTCTCCCGGTAATACACATCGCCCGCCCTCCGGTTATCCACATCTGCCCAGAAAGCGGCCACCACGCGCCGGTCCTTGGAGATGGGGAAGGCCACTGGTGTGAACTGGGAGACCTCCTTCAGGAATGAGATGATCCCGTTGTTGTTCACCTGCAGAGAGGGAGGGAGAGAAACGGGCGGCCACAGTTGAGCAGAAATCCAGGTTTTAGAGGCACTTTCCGTTTCACCTTTTTTCCCACCCCTCCACCTCTTTCCACAAATATTGGAGCGCTTCCCCTTCCTGCCCCTGGAAGCAGAGACGTGCCCCGGCACCCGCAGCCCCCCGCCCCGGCTGCTCGCTCGCTGGAGCACGGCTGCAGGAAGCAGCCACCCGAACAAACCCAGCCCTGTTCTCTGCCAGGGACGGGCCAGGGGAAGGGGGAACAGCTGAGAAAACTGCGGCGGCCCCGGCACTTTAAACAAACAGCACCCAGCACGCTTGGCCAGCTCGCGCCGGTGCTCCTGGCGGGGGCAAGGGGCTGTTTCGCTCACTCCCCACTCCCTTACAGCTGACACGCAGCCGGCAGGGCCGGGACCAAGCACCGCTGCCACCCTCCTGGCAGAGGGTTTGTACCCAAGCCCGGCAGCCACCAGCATGGGATGGGGGGAGCCTTACCGGGCAGCAATCCATCCACCAGCACACGCGGCACTCCGAGGGAGCTAACAAGTGGTCAAGCTAATGGGCCCATGGTCCTCCGGTGACCAAGTGCCGCCATCCCATGCCAAGCTCCTGGTGCTGGCTGGGCCTCGGCCGGCTGCTCTCATTATAGCGGGGGATGCCAGACACCCAGGGCAAGATACTGCAAGCTCTGAGCCCTTCCCCTGCACTAATTAACGGGGGCAATTAGGATCCTGGGATGCCCGGTCCAGGGATGCATGGCAGAGGGAGCCCTCAGCCCAGGGAAGGAAGCTGGAGATCGGTGGATGCTGCTGCCTGGAGCGCTGCCTCCTGGCTTGGGGATGCAGCGGGAGCAAGGAAGGGGGGGAAAACCCCTGCCTGCACTGCTGCCGGAGCAGGCAGTGAGGGGGCAGGAATCAAAGGGAAATGCTCTCGCCCTCAGCCCCCGAATTCCCAGGAGGAGACCCTGCCAGCACCCTGCCACACTGGCAACCCCAGATGGACAGGCAGCTCCCAGCCACTTCATCCCCCTGCCTGCAGTGCTGCCTGTGACAGTGGGACAGGCAGGAGCACAGAGCCCCTGAGCTGAGCTCCCCAGCACTCAGTGCCCATCTCTGGCAGCACCAGCCCAGCAAGCCCTGTGCTGCAGGGTAGGAGGTGGGGGGCATGGTGCAGGGACAAGGCTCTCGAGCGGAGAGAACGGGTGGCCCTGGCACACAGGGGCAGGGACAGGCAGCGGCATCACATTCGTGTGCCGACAAGGAGCTGGGAGCCAGCATCCCGGCAGGAGCCATGCCGAAGTCAGCACGCTGGCACCCGGGCTGCCTGCACAGCCAGGTGGGGGGCTGGGCTGTGACAGGATGGATCCCCAGCCCCTCTGTTCGAGCAGGGGGCAGTCCTCGCTGTGACTAAGGGGAAGAGGATTCCTGTTTCCCAAAGCCTTCATAACCCCACGGTGTCCGCGGAAGAACATTCTTCCCCTGATTAAAGCAAGATGGGAGAGAGCTGGAGCCAAGAAGGGCTTTTTTTGTTGTTGCTGGTTTTCGCAAAGGAGAAGGGGGTGGTTAGAGGCAGTCCTCGAGGACGAAGATTTCCAGGTGAGCCCAGCCCCATGCCAGCTCCCCCAGGACAGCAGCTCCACAGGGAGAAATAGCCCAGCTAGGCGGACCCCCATGCAGGTGAGCTGGCCCTGCAGAACCAGGGGGTCTCGGTTCAGGAGAGGGGGACACACCGCCCTCTGACCCCCGCAGCCCCTCCAAGACCCAGAGCTGTGCAGCAGATCCCACATGGGACGGCTGCCGTGACACCTGGCTTCTCCCAGCCTCTTCTATCCTCCCACTGCAGTTCAAGCACCAAGCCCAGGTCCCTCCTGCCCCATGGCAGGGCTGGAGCTTCTAAAAGGGGCAAAAAAACACCAGCAAGGACCAAGGACCTCCCGCACTTAGCTGAGGCAGCAAGACAGCACACGAGCCCAGCTCCGAGATGGCAGCGAGGCAATGCTCAGGCCTCTCCTCTGCCAGCCGGGTCCAGATCATTGGTCAGCCTGAAGCAAGCCAGGCAGCAGAGAAGGGACCAGGACGCTGGAGGATTCACTGCACCCGGTGGGAGCTGGCGTGGGGAACTGAGACCCCACGCCAGGACCCAGGGCAGGAGTTCGGAGCCAGCACTGCCCAAAAGACTCTGGGGACAACCCAGCACTCAGGGTTGCTCCTCTGCTCGACGGCCACAGCCGTGGGGGACACGATGGGCCAGGCACGACTTGAGCTCTCCAGCACATCAGGGCCCAGCCGCCCCAGCGGGCGCAGGGAATAGAGAAGAGGGAGCGGGACGTGCCAGCGGGAGCAGCCAGCCAAGCCCGCTGCAACACAGCCCAAAGGGCAGCTGTGTTTATTCTGCATCGCACCCAGAGTCCTGCCGCGGCCTCCTCCCCGGCGAGGGACAGCGTCCAGGGCAGCCGTCCAGGGGCTCCAGCACTGCTCCGGGCACTCGCCCGCCAGCCGTGCCCCGCTCCCCGTCACCGGCGGCCCGGCTGCATGCCGCTGCGGGGGCCCGGTCCCACGAGGCGCGGGTGCTTCTGGCTCCAGCCACGGCCAAGCCCGGGGCGAGCGCTGCGGCGAGCGCTTCGTCCAGCATCCCAGCGTGGTGGGGCCGGGACCCTCGCCAGGGCCGGGACCCTCGCTGTGCCACCCAAAGCAGCCCCGGGCCCCTGAGCCGGGGGTCCGGCATGCTCCCGGAGCTGGGGCCCCGCCAGATCTCCCCCCGTGCTCAGCACGCCGTTGTTCCTCTGATGCTCCGAGTTAAACGGGGACCACGGCCCCGTGGAAACCCAGGTGCGCTTGGATCCACGCGAGCGGGAGAATAAAATGAAATAAAATGGAATAAAACGGAACGGGAGGCCCCGGGGCAGGCCATCCCCGCTGCCGCCCGGTACTCACGTAGAGGCCGGTGTGCCCCGCGCCGAAGAAGGGGAAGGGCACGGAGAGCGGCCGCAGCTCGGA